CTTTCCAAAAAAAAAACATTAATATTAAAAGGTCAAAAGCTTGCTCAGGGCTAATCAGCTCTGTGGTAACTAATGACCACAAGACCTTTAATTTTATTTCAAATCTGCTTCTGAAACTCTATAAACCACTAAGTTATTAAAGCATTTCGCCCAATCTTGAGTTTGAAATGTGCTTTTTTGGACTTAAAACAACTGCGTTATAGATATTAGTTCATAGCTGCTTGTCTCTGAACTCTAAATATTTGAGTTTTTAAAAAGTCTATGGGAAAAAAGAATGGAAAACTTGAATAATAATCCATAAATATGTTGAAAATGTGTTCGTCTTAACCTCGTGTGGTGTTTTTATTGTTTTCTGTTGTTACGTTTGGGTTAATTTAGGGATGGGCATTCGATAAAATGTTCTTAATAGATCGTCGGGAGAATTAACGATTGATTTTCGATTAATCATTAACGTTTTTATATTAAATTATCATCATTATGACTATTACTATCAGTGTTGGGAAGGTGACTTTTAAAATGTAATCCCCTACAGATTACAGATTACCATTAAATTACTTAAAGTGAGTAATGTAATCTGAATACTTTGGATTACTTGATTTGCTGTAGAGAAGCAAAGACGAGGAAATCGTAAAATAAGATGTTTTGTCTGATAAAAGAAAATGAAAAGCCCAGACTTTACATAACCAGATTAAAAATATTATTGATAGAAGAGGAGAAGACGTGGTCTGGGCAGCATGATTTAGTCCTGGTTTAGCCCTGGAATTGCCAGGTCTTAGAACCTGGTTTACTGACCACTAAACCTGGTTCTACTGAACCTAAACCAGGAACTCTACTGAAACCAGGACTAAAACCCTAGGATCTAGGACTGAACCAGGACTAAACCAGGACTGAACCAGGTCTAAACCAGAACTGAACCAGGTAACCAGGACCTTCTAAACCACTGAACTGAAACCAAAACCAAAAACCAGAACTGAACCAGGTAAACTGAAAACCAAAACCAGGTCTAACTAAACCAGAACTGAACCAGGACTAAACCAGGACTGAAAACCAGAACCAACTAAAAACCAGAACTGAACAGGTCTAAACCAGGACTGAACCAGGTCTAAACCAGAACTGGAACCAGGACTGAACCAGGTCTAAACCAGGAACTAACCTAAACCAACTAAACCAGGACTAAACTGAACCAGGACTAAACCAGGACTGAACTAAACCAGGACTAAACCAGAACTGAACCAGGACTAAACCAGAACTGAAACCAGGACTGAACCAGGAAACCAGAACTGAACCAGGACTAAACCAGGACTGAACCAGGTAGGACTAAACCAGGAACTGAACCAGACTGAGGTCTAAACCAACTAAACCAGAACTGAACCAGGGAACTAGGACTAAACCAGGACTGAACCAGGAACCTGAACAGGTCTAGAACTGAACCAGGAACTCTGAACTGAACTGGCAGGACTGAACCAGGACTAAACCAGGACTGAACCAGGTCTAAACCAGGACTGAACCAGGTCTGACTGAACCAGGAACCATGAACCAGGTCTAAAACCAGGACTGAACCAGGTCTAACCAGGACTAAACCAGGACTGAACCAGACTGAACCAGGTCTGAAACCAGACTAAGGACTAAACCAGGAACCAGGACTAAACCAGGACTGAACCAGGACTAAACCAAGTCTAAACAGCGCGGAGTTCTGTGTCGGTCCTTTCGCTCGCGGTCACCCGACGGTCTACACGGGCGCATCTCCGGTGTTTCACCGCTGCTGATATCACGGTGATTTTAGCAAATTTGTAGGAAGAAAAAACGAAAAACCCACCACTTCAATCCAGGTTAAAAAATGTGTTGTGACGCGCATTACTCAGATTTGTACTGAGTAAAATATCACAATTTTTTCCCCCTGTAATGCCACATTACTGCGTTACAGCAAAAAGCAACACATTACAGTAATTTGTTACTTTTATAACGCGTTACTCCCAACACTGTAGACCGTTGTCAATCAATCTCCTCCGTGCCGTGTCTCCTGTACAGTACAGAATGTGTTCATCTTCTCAAATTTACATAAATGTTTCTGTATCAGTGTGATTCTGAAGTGTTGTATGTTTGCGAGTTTTCTCCTCGACAAAACCCACAATGTCGACGAAACGTTCAGCACCGACAAAGGCTCCTGCGCTCGCACCCGAAATGCAGAGGAAGATGTGACCATCGCATAAAAAGTTGGACGTCTGGACACGCTGAAGGAAGGTAGCAGTTTACGGAATTACGGAATAAATTAATCTTCGGTTCGTTACGTAAAAAAGGAGGAAAATAACAAAAGGACGACAGCAGCGATAAGTTTTAAGAAGGATATAAAAAAGAGTTGTAACTGTCCTGTATAAATTGGTGCTGAGGGGTTTTACAGCCTTAAAACATTTGTAATAATAAAGCTGACTACTTCGCAAATTTCATCTATTGCGGGTTATTTTTAGAACGTAAACGAGAGACCACTGTACACAAAAAAAAAAAAAAAAAACGATCATAACTGCGACACGGAGCCAGAGCCCAAACGTTTCTTAATTAAACATGAACATGATCGACGAAATTCTTAACGTTTAATTGTCGTTTAGTCGACTAATCATGCCCATCCCTAGGTTAACTACAGCTACACTTTTTGATCGACGTTGCCTCATTCTCTCGAGTCTCTTGCATAAGACTTCTGGACGTTTCGTAACATTCTACAGGAGCTTTAGAAGAACACGACCTTTTACGAAAGAACACGAGCAGCGAGGTCAAAACCACCTTGACTTTGGTTGTAAACATTTCGCGCCAAAGTCCCGTAAATCCCCCACAAACTGTCCCGACTCAAACGCCGCACGGGAGGGAAAAAAAAAAAAAAATCTCGATTCTCGCTCTCGTCGGCTTCAAACCTCCGCGCTCCAAAGCCGGTCCTTGAACGCCTCGCCAAGGTCAGAACCGACAACGCGCTCGGACGGATAAAAGAATGTGAAATTAGGCTCAGCTGTGTGTCCCTTTGAAAAGCTAATACGAAGCGCACAAAGGCAGGGCCGGGGTTTGTTGGTGGTGCTCGTCCTTGTGTCGGGATTGAAGCATGGTGAGGCAGACCAGAGGAAGAGACATTAAAGACACTACATGGAACATCGAGGAGAGCGCGTTCCGCACAACACACAGCTGTGACCACTGCCCATGCGCACAGACACTCACACAGTCCTACACACCTGACTCTCCTGGTTACACACTTTAAACTCGGAGGGAAGGGACCAGATGGTGGACTCGCCGGTCACTGATCGACTCATCAGAACGAAGGGACGCGCCGCCAAAGAGGTCGACAAGGCGAAGACAAACTTTGACTCTGTCTGCTCATGTAGATCAGGTTCGACTCAAGACATACTGGAGGTTTTTCAGATAATGTACGACTTTTTAGATGTTTGGATTGCAGAATGGATACATTAAAGCAGGGGTGTCCAAACTTTTGTCATCAAGGGCCACATATTTAAACACAGATGAAGCAGAGGGCCGATCGAGGGAGGTAGACTGGAGCTCAAAACAGTGAATAATTGAAATATGCGCAGGTTTAAACATGTTACTATGAACCTTCAGTCTTTATTCGTGCTAAAATCCTTAAAACCACACACTAAATATGAAATATGAGCTTTATCAAGGTAGATTCTCAAAAAAACTTGCAGTAAAAAATTATTTTTTAATTGCTGCAAGGTCATTTGGACCAATTCACCTGAGGGCCAAGAAAAATTTGTCTGAGGGCCGCGTTTGGCCCCCGAGCCATAGTTTGGACATGCCTGCGTTAAAGCAAAGACCTATTATATAAAATCTAATAGTATCATACTCATAATAAAATCTTTTAGAGCTTTTGCGCATGTTTTTCTCCCTCTCAAAGCTACGTTCCGACTGCAGGTTACGTGAAATCTGATTTTTTTGGCGAGGTTGTTCCAATTTCAAAAGTGTCCTGCACGAGCACGGAATGGCAATTTGTGCCGTTCTCTGCACAGACAAACCCAAAAAGAAGAGACGACGAATCTGGTCTTAGAAATATCTGGGCAGACGTGGGCAGTGCGGGTTGTCAGTTCTTCAGAAGGAACTGGAGGTAAGTAGCATCAAGTTTTTCACCAAACTTATGTTCTGTGTTGCTCGATTAGCTGCGCCTCCATGTCCTGTGTCCAAAACACTCGCCGGCGCCATCGTCCTCCACAACCTCATATCCTCCTTCCTTTTCTGTGTCCGCACATGCTCAGTCTGACAGATTCTGTAAAATCGGCTCGTGGAAAGACTTCAACAGAGCGAAACCCTCACGAGAGGCGACTGGAATTAAAACAAGTTTGATTTTCTTGCGACCTACGAATGCCGATCGGGAGCTGGTCGTGAGGGATTAATCGTTTTTCTTTACTCCAAGTTTTCTACACGAAGCACGACACACGACGAAGCCAAAACTCGAAACCTGATCCCCAAAACAGTCGCACGAGTGAAAAATCGGCTCAAAAAACGGTCAAAAAGTGTACACCCGGCTAAAGTAGGTCAAATATTTATTGTGATTTTAACCTTGAAAATACATAAAAGTGTGACGCGACCTTAACTAATTACTACCAAGCATGTCCTATTTTTTTATTTTTTTTTTTTTTTTTTGCAGACTCAGTAGAAAGTCAAGTTCGTCGAGCCTCGTCAACTTTTCCTCGACGCGAAAAAACAAAAACCCCGGACTTGCCGATCAGCGACCGAACCGAACCCAACGCCGATCCCCTCCTCCACCTCCGCACTTTCTGTGTTATTATTCCTCTCGATAAATGTAAAGTTAATGAGCGCTTCCTGAGGTTAGTTTTTTTTTTTTTTTTTAAGGTGAGCTCTGGTTTATCTGGTCGTTAGTCAGCAGACAGACGGCGAAGAGTCGGCGTCGTACCTCTCGCCGTCGTCCAAAAAACAAAACAAAAAACGTCCAAAGAGACCAAGAAAAGAACTGAAAAAAAAAGCAAATGTCTACAAGCGGGACATGTTACCTGGCTATGACAAACAGCACACAACTGACACCCAAGTAAGCCAGCAGAATATACATCCAGATATCGGGCGACAGGGGGTTGAGGAAGGAGAAGACCCCGGGGTTGGTCCCGTTCGGCTTTCGGTACAGAATACTTATCCCCAGCGTCATGAAGGGTTTGGAGAAGTCGATCACCTTCTCCCGGACGTACGTGATGGACAGAGGAGCCACGGCCAGGTCTGCCCTCTGGAAAAGAGAGGAAGAAAAGAGGAGAGGAGAGGGACACGGGATGAGAAGAGAAAGAGGAAGTAAGTAGGAGAAAGATCGGGAGAGAGAAGGAGGAGGAGGAACAGAGAAGGAAATAAAAGGGAGGAGAGAGGGGAGGGAGAAAGAGAAAGAGCGAGGAGGGAGAAGGAAAGGAGGAATAAAAAGGACAAGAGGGAGGGAGAGAGACACGAGAGGAGGAGAGGGGGAGGAAAAATGGACGTGGAAAACGGAGAAGAAATGGAGGAAAAGAGAGGAGAAGAGAGATAGACGTGGGAGGAGAGGGAAGAGAAGAGAAGGAGGAAGGAAATAGGAAATGGTGGGAGAGGAGGAGGAGGAGCAGAGAAGGAAGAAAAAAGGGAGGGGGGAGAAAGAGGGAGGAGAGAGGGGAGGAAGAAAGAGAAGGCGGGGAGGAGGAGAGGAGAGATAGATACGGGAGGAGAGGAGGAGAGAAGGAAAGGAAGGAAAGAGGGAGAAAAAGGCAGGAGAGGGTGAGGAGACATGGATATTAGAGGAGAAGAAAAGGAGGAATAAAAAGGAAGAGGGGGAGAGAGAGAAAGAAGGAAAAAGAGCAGGAGAGGAGGAGGAGCAGAGAAGGAAATAAAAGGGAGGCGAGGGGGGGAAGAAAGAGAAAGCGGGGAGGAGAAGAAAAGGGGAGAGAGATAGACACGGGAGGAGGCGGAGGAGAGAAGGAAGGAAGGAAAGAGGGAGAAAAGCAGGAGAGGGTGAGGAAGAAAGAGGGCATGGAGGGATTGAGAGGAGAAGAAAAGGAGGAATAAAAAGGAAGAGGGGGAGGAGAGAGGAGACATGGCCACGGGAGGAGAGAAGGAGGAAGGTAAGAGGGAAAAAGAGCAGGAGAGCGTGAGGAGAGATGGACATGAGAGGAGGAGAAGAAAGAGGAAGAGAGGGGAGAGGAGAGATAGACATGGGAGGAGGGGGAGGAGAGAAAGAAGGAGAAAGAAGGAGAAAGAGCAGGAGAGGAGGAGGAGCAGAGAAGGAAGAAAAAGGGAGGAGGGGGGGAGAAAGAGAGCGAGGGGGGAAGGAAGGAGGAAAGAGGAGGAAGAGAGGGAGAAAGAGGGAGAAAGAACGGGAGAGGGTGAAGACAGATGGAACATGGGCGGATGGGGGAGAGGAGGAGGAGCAGAGAAGAAAGAAAGAGGGAGGAGAGGGGAGGAAGAAAGAGGGAGGGAGGGGGAGAAGAAAAGAAGGAGGAAAGAGTAAAAGAGGGGAGAGGAGAGATAGACACGGGAGGAGTGGGAAGAGATAGAAGGAAGGAAGAATGAGGGAGAAAAATCAGGAGGATAAGGAGAGATGGACGTGGAAGGATGGGGAAGAGGAGGAGGGGCAGAGAAGGAAGTAAGAGGGAGGAGAGAGGGGGGAGAGGGGAGGAAGAAAGATAGAAGGCAGAGGAGGAGAGGAAAAGGAGGAAGAAAGAGGGAGAGAGGAGAGATAGAGGAAGAACGAGAGAGAAAGAGTGGGAGAGGGTGAGGAGAGATGGACACGGGAGGAGGGGGAGAAGAAAAGGAGGAAGAGAGATAGACAGTGGGAAAAAGGGGAAGACAGAAGGAGGAAGAAAGAAGGAGAAAAAACAGGGAGAGTGTAAGGAGCAGTGAAGAAAGAAGGAAAGAGTGAAGGAAGGGTTGAGGAGAGACGGAGAGTTGAGAGAGGGAAGAAGGGGAGAGAGGGGAGTAGAAGGAGAGAAAGAGGAAGAAAGAGAGGAGGAGAGGTAGAGAAGACGGTTATGAGGGCGGAAAGCGAAAAGGAGGACGGTTAGAGGACGAGAGAGAAGAAAGAGAAAGAGGGGAGGACGAGGAGAGAGAGAGAGAGAGAGAGAGAGAGGAGGAGACAGGAAAGGAGGAGGAGAGAGGGACACAGAAAGAAGAGAGGAGAAAAGGAGGAGGGGGAAGAGAAGAAGAAAGTCAAAAATTACAACAGATGCAAATATTAAAGACTTTTCTTCAACTTTTCTGGTGTCGTTCATGTTGTTGCTTTGACCGGAATGTTCCACAGTGAGGCATTAAAGTTTAAAAACACACACACTCTCAGGGTCTCGCCTCTCCACAGATCAGGTCAGTAACACTTTCCCCCCGTGGATGACGCTGTAAATCCAGACCTCCGCTCTCTGTCTCTCTTTTTCTCTTTTAGATCCGGATCTAAACGTAAAAAACTTTTATCGATCACAAACCCAGAAGAAGAAAGCTCCGGTGTGCGTCGCCGTGGAGACGGGACGACGACGGGACGAGAGGTTTTCCGAGCGACGGGAAACTCCGACTCACTCCGGTCGGGAAAATGTGTTGGAAAGCTGCGTGTGCGTCCAGAAACCACGATTTTATAAACTCTACACCATTTTGTTTTTTTGTTTTTTTTATGGTTTAAATCTAAATCTTTCCTTTTTTTTCTTTTAATCAGCTGCAAAAAAAAAAAAAAAAAAAAAAGAGTCGTCTGCTGTTTTGTAATTTAACTGAACGAAGCCGAAACGCTGCAGAAAAGAGTTAATGAAAAAACTAGAATAGAATTTTTCTTTATTCTGCGATCAGTTCTTTCAGGCGATTTTAAGAGATTTATCTCCACGAAGAGAGAGAGAGGAGAAAAGATTATGAAACAAGAGAGAAAAGAGGAGAAGAAAAGAGAGGGGAGGAGGGAGAGAGATATGAAGAGAAAGGGACGGTAAGAGAGAGTGAGAGAGAGAGAGAAGGTGGGCAGAGAGATAGAAAGGAGAGTGACGGAGGGAGAGAGGGAGGAGAGAGAGATCAAGAGAAAGAGGGGGAGAGAGAGTGAATGAGAGGGATGGGGGAGAGGGAGAGAGAGAGAGAAAGAGAGGGAGAGAGAAAAAGAGAGAGCAGAGTGAGGGAGAGAGAAAGAGAGTAAAAGAGAGGAAAGAGAGAGGAGAGAAAGTGAGAGCGAGAAAGGAGAGAGAGAAAGAAAGAGAGGGAGGAAAGAGAGAAAGGAAACGGGGAGAGAGGATATGAGTGAGAGAGCGAGAAGAAGGAGAGAGAGAAAGAAAAAGTGAGTGAGAGAAAAACAGAGGGGAGAGAAGAAAGAGAGAGAGAGAGAGGAAGGAAAGAGAAAGGAGAGAGATAGAAAGGAGAGTGACAGAGAGAGAGAGGAAGGAGAGAGAGAGAGAGAGAGAGAGCAGAGAGAAAGGAGAGAGTGACAGAGAGAGAGAGTGGAAGGAGAGAGAGATGGCAGGAGAGAGATAAAGAGAAAGAGAGGGGGAGAGAGAGAAAAAGAGGGAGAGAGAAAGATAGAAAAAGAGAAGAAGGAGAGAGAGGGAGAGAGAAAGGAGAAAGAGAGGGAAGAGAGAGAGAGGGAGCGAGATGTAAAGAGAAAGAGGGGGGAGAAAGGGTAAGAGTGTGAGAGAGAGAGAGAGAGCGAGAAGAAGAAGAAAGAGAGAGAGAAAGAGAGTGAGAGAAAGGAGCGAGAGAGAGAAAAAGGGGAAGGAAAGAGAAAGGAGAGAGAGAAGAAGGAGATATAGAGAGAAAGAGAGGGGGAAGAAAGAGGGTATGAGTGAGAGAGAGAAAGAAAAAGAAAGAGAGAGAGAAAGTGAGTGAGAGAAAAAACAAAGTGGGGAGAGGAAAGAGAGAGAGAGAAAGGAAAGAGAGAGAGAGAGTGAAAAAGAGAAAGCGAGGGGGAGAGAGAAGGTATGAGTGACGAGAGAAAAAGCGAGGGAGAGAGAAAGACAGAAAAAGTGAGTGAGTGGGAAAAAGAGAGGAAAGAGAGAGAAGGAGAGAGAGACAGAGAGAAAGGAAAGAGAGAGAGAGAGAGAAAGGAGAGAAAACAGGAGAAATAGAGAGAAAGGAAAGAGAGAGAGAGGGGGAGGTAGTTAGAGACAGAGAGAAAAGAGAATGGAGAGATAGAGAGGAAGGAGAGAGACAGAGAGAGAGGAAGGAGAAAAGGAGAGAAAACAGGAGAAATAGAGAGACAGAGAAAAAAGGAGAGAGAAAGAGAGAGAGAGAGAGAGAGAGAGAGAGAAAGAGAGAGAGAGAGAGAGAGAGAGAGAGAAAGAGAGAGAGAGAGAGAGAGAGAGAGAGAGAGGTGGAGGAGGTAGAGTCATGATTCACTGGCACAGGAAACATTTAGAGCCAATCAAATTAAGAGAACAAGCTCTTTACACAGAGCAGCTCTGTCCCAGCACTTACAACTCATTTAATGCTTCACGTTTCTGCCCAAGTCTTCAAAGAACCATTCTCTCCATCATTTACCCTCTCTCCATCTCTTCTCATCAAATCTCTCCTATCAAATCTCTGTATATCAAATACTCTGACTATATATATCAAATACTCTGACTATTATATTATCAAATACTCTGACTATTATAATCAAATACTCTGACTATTATACTCTCAAATACTCTGACATTTATATTATCAATACATATTATCAAATACTCTGACTATTATCTCTAAATACTCTGACATATTACTCTCTATTTAAATCAAATACTCTGACTATTATATATCAAATACTCTGATTATTATTCTGATTATTATATATCAAATACTCAGACTCTATTATTATCAAATACTCTGACTATTATAAATACTCTGACTATTATATTATCAAATACTCTGACTATATTATATATTATCAAATACTCTGACTATTATTATCAATATATCAAATACTCTGATACTATTATATTATCAAATACTCTGACTATTATCAAATACTCTAATATATTATCAAATACTCTGACTATTATTCAAATACTCTGATATATATTTTCAAATACTCTGATTATATATTCAAATACTCTACTATTAAAATACTCTGACTATTATACTCTATATATTATCAAATACTCTGACTATTATATTATCAAATACTCTGACTATATATTATCACTATTATAAATATACTCTGACTATTATATTATCAAATACTCTGACTATTATACTCTCAAATACTCTGACTATTATATTATCAAATACTCTGACTATTATATTATCAAATACTCTGACTATTATACTCTCAAATACTCT